TACCAATTTGTTTTTTAAATATTAGGATTCTATGTTTGTCAAAGGTGTTTCAATGAAACCAATTTACTCGACATAGGTTTGTTCACAATGGGCTAGCAAACATCACTTTTTCAATTTGAGTAAAAGTGTTTGAGTGTTTTATGCATCCCTCGAAGACAGTTTTCTTAAATTATGTATCAAAGTCACAAAAGCATTTAATTCACTAAGTTCTTGTGATATGTGGACTATGATAAACAAATCAAGGATTTCTTTTCAAAGATCATATTTTAGTATTTTTGTTTTTAAGGATATATAGAGTGATGGCAAATAAGGTGGAGAATTGTAGATGAAGAAGAGGGTAATGGTGAAGGGTTAGCACAAATATAAATTGCAAAAAAGTAAATTATCAAAAATAAAACAATAATTTGTCACCCTCAACATTGATCTTGCCTTTTTCTTGTTCACGGTGTTTGTTAGTATTTTTGAATTTGTTTCCATGTTTTGTCAACCTCTACTTTACACTTGATATAACTATTTTTTTCACATATTTTGACTGGCACAATAAAATAAAATAAAAAATACTTAAATGAGATTAACTGTTCTAAAACTACCCCATCATGAACACATCTTTGTTGATTCCACATTCCGCTACAATAATTGCATGTAATCTTCTTCTTGAGCTAGATTTGATCTCCATTTCAATCCTCTTTCTGTCGACATTGTTCTCTACTTGAATCCAACTACCTTGGATGTCACATGTTTCGGTCAAGCTCGTTTTCAATATTTTCAATAATGTTTTGATTTCTTCGTTTGATTCTGCTTGTCTTGACACCTTTACCTTTTTCCAAGTCAGCCTACCCAATGCTTTTTCGATCTTGTTTGTGTTATGGAAAAGATCTTCGGAGAGAAAGGTCCTTCGTCGCAAAAATATATACTGAGAAAAAAAGGAGAAAGGATTCAAGGCTGCAATGAACGCTTTGGATGCTCTCCCACCACTTCCTTTAGCAATCTTGGTTGAGATTTTATTACGAATAGATAACTTTCTCATTTCAGACGTAATTAATCAAACTTGACTAAATGTAGTTCTTGATATATAAATTAATTAGAGGATGAACGAATTATTTAGACCTTGATTACATAAAAGTGGATAAATGAGTTGATTTCTCATTCTTGCTTTGTTCTCACTAGGTGTACAATATGATCGGCTTTATACTCATTATCTTTTGTAAATGGTATAATCATTTAGTCTTTCGCTTCAGGGGAAAATTTTTGGCACTATTGATGAATGTGACAATTATTCAGATACACAAACATTACATTGAAACAACAGATTCTTAAATGCAGAATAGAACAAGTAACAGATTTTACAAGATAAAACAAGTCCTATCTCTATTTAGTGGTTCCTAACATAGGAACTTATTAACTTCACAAAATCAAACTTCGACAAAAGATAAATCTTAAAATCAAAATTCTCCACTGCTATAGTTGGAATCGGTGAAATCATCCCAAACAAGAAAACATTTTAATTATTACTGCTCTTTGCTGAATAGTATGTCTGTGCAATAGTGAGGCCTAGCAGCGCCACAGCTGCCAACACTCCTATGAGTTTCCAAACCGTAGGAATGTGTTCCTTTATCAGAATGCTGTACCAGTTTTTGCAATAGTAAACAATAATTGCAATGATACGTCTGCACTGATGCCAAGTGACTATTGGCCATTTTGTTAACGATATCGTTCCCGTGTCTGAGTTCAACTTGCCACAAACGTCACTATAACTCCAATCCATCTGATCAACTCCCTCACTCAGAGTTTGAAACATCTTCAGCAAATCTACATTTCTTTTCCCGGATTCGTTCACTATAATTCCAAGACGCTCCAGCAGTTCGATGTCATGCGTACAACAAATCAAGCCTTGGAAAAACAAAGCATACGAAGTCAATTTGCAACTGGTTATAATTCTGCTCTGCTCCCACGCAATCATGTTCCTCCATGTGACTTCCGTTGACTTCTTAATACGAAACTGAGGAATCTCCAACACCCCTTTGTCGAAATTTATCTCAAAGTTAAAGATTTCACCAAACTGGTTCATATTGCTTCTACCTCCTTGTCTTATCGTTACTCCACGAGCTCGANTTATTACTGCTCTTTGCTGAATAGTATGTCTGTGCAATAGTGAGGCCTAGCAGCGCCACAGCTGCCAACACTCCTATGAGTTTCCAAACCGTAGGAATGTGTTCCTTTATCAGAATGCTGTACCAGTTTTTGCAATAGTAAACAATAATTGCAATGATACGTCTGCACTGATGCCAAGTGACTATTGGCCATTTTGTTAACGATATCGTTCCCGTGTCTGAGTTCAACTTGCCACAAACGTCACTATAACTCCAATCCATCTGATCAACTCCCTCACTCAGAGTTTGAAACATCTTCAGCAAATCTACATTTCTTTTCCCGGATTCGTTCACTATAATTCCAAGACGCTCCAGCAGTTCGATGTCATGCGTACAACAAATCAAGCCTTGGAAAAACAAAGCATACGAAGTCAATTTGCAACTGGTTACAATTCTGCTCTGCTCCCACGCAATCATGTTCCTCCATGTGACTTCCGTTGACTTCTTAATACGAAGCTGAGGAATCTCCAACACCCCTTTGTCGAAATTTATCTCAAAGTTAAAGATATCACCAAACTGGTTCATATTGCTTCTACCTCCTAGTCTTATCGTTACTCCACGAGCTCGAAGTCTAGTGGCACAACGCTTTAACTCTTTATGAGCTCGCCTAGTTTTTTTTCTATCCTCCTGGTTCACGATGGACAAATAAACAAGGTGAAGAAGATGAGCCGCACCAGATGTAGGAACAACAGAAAAGTAGCCTAGAGCTTCCATTGCAAGAGTAGCAACACGGTGATCTTGCTCAACGGGAACAGGAACCGGGAAAAGTTTTCTATACAACTTCTTGAGAACAATGAAGGGTACTTGATTCTCAAGCAGAAGCAAGTCACTCAACACAGACAAGACTTTGTCTAGGCTTTCGAATACAGGGTCGTCATCATATTCACCATTCTCCCCAGCCTTCAAGGATTCCTTATACTCGTGAAGCCTGTGGATAAACTCTAACAAGAAAAAACCATCCAGAAGCATAAGTTTTGCTAGCTCGTGTGGTTCAGATAGAGCGTTCCCCCCATAGCTGGCACGAACTATGTATTCTATCTCCAGAATGGTCTCGCCGCATTCTTTCACCGTGCTTGGGCCGTCTTTAATTTTCCCCTCTTGTTCCGCTTGGAACAGGGATCGTCCTAGAAGAGACAGCATGTAATTCCATTTGGGTTGTTCCATCATGAAGAGATCGTTTTGGGATCCCTTGTGGTAGGGTCCGATGGAGACAACCTGCGGAACGTATGCGTCCTTGTTTGGCTTTCTAAGCTTGTCTGGAACCTTGGAGATGCTACATGCCTCAACTTCTCCGTGTCTTACAGTACCCAGCAACACTTGAATAGGAAAGATCCAACTGGTGGGGTCAACGTTGAGTTCTCTTCCTGGAGCCATATCTCACCTATTAGGCGAACGAAGAATTCACAGAACAAGCTCCAGCAAGTGGTTGTTCTTGTTTTCTCGTTTTGAAATTATTTAGGTTGAGATTTGAGAAAGACTCCGGACAACACTGATCCAAATTACTATGAGTAGGTATGATTATTATAAATTACGCTACTGTAGTATATTGTTATTTCAGTAAATTTTTAATGAGGTACACACTCAATTGTTTCTCTATCTAGGTAACAACCACATGGAGGGTGGGCCATGTTCTCTAAAAAAATTGGTAGCATTAATGTTTGGTCAATGCAAATGGATTAGAAAATAAATCCTATTATCTGCGCGTAAACACAACAAATAGATGGATATGCTAATGGTGAGATATTTTATTCTCATATTGTTGACGACATCGAGAGAAGGATGCAGTGGCTGGCATGTAAAAGGTGGAAAGGAGAGGTTGGCAGCAAGATTAGTAAAATCGAAAGGGGTGTTCGAACAAAGAACTTTGGAAATAACCTAGTTGCTTTGATTTTTTCACTTTTAAGAGAGTGATATGAAAAAGAAAAGAAAAGAAGTGATTTGAAAAAACCTAACCTAAATAGAGATTACAAAAATGATTAAACCTTTATAAAACAAGTATGTAAGGTGACCACATAAGGAAAGCAAGAACAATCCATATTTTAAAAAAACTTGAGTTAATTATTGTCACTATAGTGTTGCTTACTACAAAGTTCTTAAGATAAGTAATAACGTTTGAAGATGTATAGATATAACACTTTTTATGAATAATAATCTTATCAATGTTATTTTGTAATAAAATATTATATATTAAAAAAATTCGTTCTTATTTTTATAAATAGTTAGTATTTTATATTGATATTCTATTACACAAATTTACCACAAAATATATATTTAGATAACAAAATGAAATGGGTAAATTAAAACAATTTATGAAAATTTAAGAAGAGATGTAAGAAATATTGTTAATAAATTAAATAAAATGAATATGTTCACACATATAACTAAACAATTTCAAGTTCAATAAAATAATCAATACATAATTGTACTCAATTTATTATGAATTAAGTATAGAGCTAACCGCATTGTTTTATCTATAATTTGGTCACACCATTTTGTTTTCACTCATGATAAAACTCTAATAAAATTCAATTAACCTCCCATGACATTCATTAAATGATATCAGACGCCACGAACCAATATAAATACATATTTGTTGCAAGACAGAGTAATTAAATTTATCATACAAGAAATGAAAGAACGTAGGGTCGTGTGGTGTGAATGATTCATTATTTATTGTGATTGGTTTATAAAGTTGCTTTGGTAATCAAACTTAAAATATTGTTCAAGGGAGTTGGTCCTCCCTTCACATTTGCATTATATTATAATATCACGTAGACTTTTAGAGTTTACTTTCAGCGTTTTCAGCTACATTAAAATTTTCATAAATCAAACAAGTTAAAGCTAACAAAAATAATTTGTCTAAACATTAACAACCAAATTTAATTATTTTATGTTGCTAAGAAACAAAGTCTATCCTTTTATATTGTTAATCATGAACGCTTACCTCAAAAACTGACATTATTAAAGATGTTCATTGTTGTGGTGTGAACACCATCTGACTGACTTGACTTTTCTAGTGTGAATTCGCATCCAGTAATCCACGTTCTCTTTTCTCGCATCCACGCATGATTTTCCACGAGCCTCACATTTCTCTCGAGTCCTCACAGCTCATTCTGTTAGCATCTCATGAATCCTTCAACACAAAAACGTCATTCTCTCTCGAGATTTCCTTCTCGTTGAAACATAGTTTAATTCATGTCATCTTCTGGAGACCTAATCCCCTTTCTCCTTGCGTCCTTAAACAGTAAGTATCTTCCTTATTCACCGAGCCATATAACCTTTTACATTAGGTTTTCCACCGATTGATTGCTTTTTTCACATTCCTTCACCGATTAATTTCCTTTCCTTTTTCACCGATTAATCGGTTCACCTACGGTTTCCATCCCAAACACCAAACCTACCACTTCAACCGAACAAACTCTAAACCTAGGGTTCACCTAAGGTTCTTCATCGATTTCGCTCGTCTTTCGTCTTTCGTCGTTGTCAACAACATTTTCCGCTGCTTCATCTGTCGTCACCATGGGTTAGCTACTGATTCCATAGATTCATCAACGACCCACCATGACATAGATGCCATCAACTTTTGATCCATTTAAAGCTATTTTATTTTCTTGAAATTTGTTAAATGCTTTCTTTAATTTATCATAGGTGGTATGCATTAAGATATCTTCGATGCTATAGTTGACTGTGACACGAGCCTTCTTCAAATATAGGCATGATTTGTGACTTTTAGTATTATAGCGACTTAAGTTATTCAAAATTGTTAAGTCATTGATTATACAAAATAGCATAGACATCCAATTTGAAACAATCACCGGTGTATCCATCAAACATATCAACACCTTACTCCCACAATATCTTCAAAATTTCAACTAATGGTGTTAAATAAACATCAATTTTGTTTCCTAGTTGTCTTGGACCCGAAATCATCAAGGATAACATCACATATTTGTGTTTTCACTAAGGTAAATTGTAAATCATTAACATCACAATCAACGAGCTATACTTACTACTCAAGTTGCTATATGAATTCATTTCATCTATAATGATGTGATCATAGATAGCGCAAGGATAACGATATTAAAAGAGTGAAAAGAAGCATAAAAAGACAGCATAGATTTTATGGCTCGCATTTTGACCTTTAGTAGCATAGGTTTTTCATAGACTTGTATTTTTCCTTCCTAGTTTATTTATCTTAGTTTGGTTGTAGAGAAGCTTATATGTTCTTCTTTTCTTTAAAGTAAAAGCAATGTGACACTTTGCATAGTTTGAACTTAAAAGAAAGAAGAATAAATAAGTCTCTTATACTTTTTAGTTGTTTGTAATGCAAGCACTAGTAAAAAAGAGTTTTTTTAACTTGTATATTACCTTCGATTTCAAAAAAACTGAAGCATATCAAAATGCGGTGGCAATTTCGTAATTTTTGCGAAACTATATGCCTCAGTTCAATTGGAACCGATGTCGAAGGAGTATACTGTCTCGGTTCTCTGACCAATCGAGACAACCTTGCTTTTCCTTTGCAAATCAGACTTTTCATCTGACAACTTTTTCAAAATAGACCTACTACCTTGGCTTTGTGCAGAACAAAGGCAATATGTCCTACCAAAAGTTGACAACCTCTGTATCTGAACGTTCTAAATCCATTTTGTCAACCTATATTGCCTCGGTTCCATTTGAACCGATGTCATAAGGTCTTTATGCCTCGGTTTAACTGCGAATCGATGTATATAGTTAGAATTATCTATAATTTTTTTCATTTATAATTTTATTTTGAATATTTCTGAAAAGTTTATGCATAGGTTGTCTTTAGAACCGAGGCAGTGGAGTCTTATTGCCTCAATTTTGTACTTAACCGAGGTAATAACTTCTTCGATAGTTAAAATTTAAAAATGTAAAATACTAATTACTCTTCCTTTTCTCTGTTCGACACAAGAACCCTTCTTCCTTATTCGGATTCGCGTTGCGCAAGGGGGCGAGATTTCTTTTCTCCTTCTTCTTGATTCTTTTCTCATGGAGAGAGCCAACTTTGGGGCAGCACCAAGGGTCTCGCGCAAGTCAAAGAGGGTTTTCTCTTTCACGTTGCCAAGAGGGAGGCTTCCTTCCTCTTCTCTTTTCCGATTTGTCTTGCTTCAAGTCGTGCATCCAACCTAGCCTAGGGTTCTTCGTCTCGCACGAACAACCAACTTGGAGGGATCATCAATGGCATGACGATGGCGTGGCGGAGACGCAGCGGGGGCGCAAGGGCGCGGTGGCTATTCTTGTTCATCTTCTTCTCTTCGTTCTGATTCGCAACGAAGGAGGAAGCTCCCTTCCCTCCCCTATTTCTGATTTTTATTGGGTTGTTTTCTGTTTGATTGATTCTCTGCAAGACTGTTGGTGTTTGATTGATTCTTTGCAAGTGGTGGTGGGAGCGTGGCGTCCTCGTTCTTGTAGTGATTTGGAGTTTGCATTTCGTCCTCGGGGTTGATTTTTTGGATTTCTCACTGATTGCAGGATGAGCCATGAAGAGTTGTTGAGTTATGATTTAGGAATGCTCTTTTACAGTTTAATATTATTGTATTTTGATCTTGAAATTGGGATATTTGATTTGGATTTCTAGGATTCTTTGTTCTTCGCAATTGGGAACCTTTGATGATGGTGGTGTGAGATAGAGCGGTGGTTGTTGATGGATTGCGACCAGGGGCTAACAACTGACCAAGCAAATGGGGGAAAACAACAGAAAAAAAAACAAAAAAATAGAAGAAAAACCCCTATACTGCCTCGGTTGGATTTGAACCGAGGCAAAAGCACACACCTTTTTGCCCCGGTTCAAAACTGAGGAAAAAAGTCTATCCCTTTTTGCCTTGCCTGTATATGCCTAGGGTGTGGAACCGCTACGCATAAGCGAAAATTACCGTTGTCATTTTCCTTTACTATATTAGTGAAGTTATCTTATATATAATTTTAGTTTTGAGCTTTAGACTACTTAGGTAGATTATATACCCTTAGGAGGTTGTAGAACTAAGAGATGTGGAACTTAAAACAGCCACTAGTGCAGTCAGGGAAAATGACAGCGATTATTTTTGTCCATAGGTAGCGGTTCCCGAACCGAGGCATATTCAGGCAAGGCGAAAAGTCTACTACTTTTTGCCTCGTGTGCGAACCGAGGCATAAAAGGGGAGGATTTTGCCTCGGTTCAGCCTTAACCGAAGCAGTAGATGTTTTGATTTTTTTTTTCGTAGAACTTTATGCCTCGGTTCCTTCTGAACCGAGGCAGTATGTCCCCCTCTATTGTCTCGGTTGTAACTCTAACCGAGGCAGTAGAGCCCATTTTTGTCTTTTTTTCATCCGCCAGCCTTTTTGCATCGAGTGTGACCTTAACCGAGGCCATAGGGGGCTTTTCTACCTCGGTTATGACCTCAACCGAGACATATTCCTCTATTTTTTTTAAAATGAGGTCTATTTCTGCTACATTCCCAACTACAGAAATAGACCTGCATATATATTTA